ACATTGAAGATATATATATATATATATATATATATATAATTTGGCCTTTTTATAATAATATTTTAATTAAAATCCCTTTTTCATTAAAGAAATAAAAGTCCAACAAGTTTGAATTAACCTATTTTAAAGTTAAAATTTCTTATTATCATAAATCTAAGGACATCCTCTCTCTTTATATATTAATCATATAATTGTTGATGCATGAATACAAGCCCCTAGGGGTCAATGTCGTCTGATGCATGCATGATCGATACATCAATATTATAATATATTTCTGAAATTCAAGTTAGAATCTTTGTACATTTTGAACTCTTAAATAAATTATTAAAAAATTCAGTGTTAGATCTTAATTTGTCCTTTTACGAGCATGCTGTGAGAGTTGGAATTGAATGAGACGAGAGAGAGAGTAAGAAATCGAGAAAGTTTCCCCCTGGTAAAGAGAGAAAATAGACTGTCATTTATTTTTCTTGGGACCGTCTATTTAAAGGGGCCTAATTAGTACAATTGAGGAATGCGTATAATTTGAATTAATGACCATCATAATGTGAAAAAAAAATGATTTACAATGATTTATCAGTTTAAGTAAATACTCTCGGTTGGTGGGGACCAATTGTGTCGGTTCGCGGACTGAAATCAACATATGCCGAGAGGGGGTAATCAATTGGCCTAAATATGGTCGATCGTCTTGACAAAAGACCTACTTGATTGGTTCTGCGAGATTTGTTTCTTCGGTCGGTCCGTCGATTGATGGGTCGACCTGTTTCATCGAGTGAGCCATGACTTACTAGTTGTTCGGCTCAAATCTTAAAGGACTTGTCTCGTCTGTCAGGTCAGTTCGTCGTCTCGGGTGGATCTCCCCTCTTGCAAGGTACTGGGCAGATCTTTTCACCGCCTATGCAAAGTATCCAACGAGACTCGCCGTTGGGATGATTTGCACCTTACCCTTGGTGGATCTTGCCGCTATCAAGTAGGGAATCATCTTTAGAGTTTTGTTCTATCTCTGATTTAGAGACGTGACTTCTCATGTTTAGCATTGGATTGTCATCTGATCCTTCTTTTTTAGCTTCATGCCGGTACTTCCAGCGTATACATGCACATTTTCAAAGGAGATTTGTTTTCCGTTAAACACATGCAGTCTTTCATTTATTTCAGCTATTAAATTATTAAATATTTTCTAATTAATTCATTGTTTTCAGTCCATTGAAGGCCCTAAAGTTTGACATTGCACGTTCTTTTCATGTAATTTGTTGTCATATGATAGAGAAAATTTAATCTTGATAATTAATCATCACTAATTAACTTTTATTTTTCTTTCAAAGTCAACTCCATTCTCTCGATCCATGCCGGAGGTTCCGCGGCGGCAGAGTAACAAATTATGACCTTAACATTCAATGAAATTTCATAACATAATCAGGCGAATTTACTCCGAACCACATAAAATCACAGCGTATTTGATTGCTTATTTATCATGTAATTTTATTTTCTGCATTATTACCAACATTTTAAAATCAAAATTATATTCTCATGCATTTGGAGCCTTTAATAAATGTTATTAAAGCTTTATAATGATAAATATAGCAAACTAATGATGTATTAATGAGTATAACACCAAAAACTTTACTTTTACATTTAGACCACCCAAAACTTTTCTAATCACATTAAAAATATTATTATTTTAAATTTAAAAAATACCTTTTTCATGTATAGTTAAGGTGGCAAATACGTAAAAACTGAATTTTAGGGGCAGCTATATGTTAATATATTGGAATTGAAGCAATCATAGTTCTAAATTCTTTAATTTGAAGGCAAACATCAACATCTAGCCACTTCCCAATTTATATGAATGTTATTGAGTAAATTCAAAGACACCTAATTGTAGCTAATTAGAACGTTAATCACATAATTAGATTAATTGTTAGCAATGCCGTACTCTATCATGCTGAGTTGCTCGGAAATCCTGATTAATTAGTATAAATAATTAGTCAATGCCGTAAACCACTAATCATTTTTTAATGACCATTTTAAACGTTTTAATACAAACTTTTAAGAGGTTTAAGGAAAAAAAAATCATATTTTTCATACTTTGCCACTCGACAAGTATTTTTTTAATATTTAAAAAACAATGAGATTTACATAGATAATTGCATGCTACATACCATCAAATTCATATGTATTTATATATTTATGACTTGAGCTTTATTTTAAATTTATACCAACTAAAATTTTCTTATCTCATAAAAAATATCATTATTTTAACTTTAAAAATTGAAGTACACGTTCCCATGCATAAATATGTGCATATATATATATATATATATATATATATATATATATACATACATATAGAGTGATAAATGATAGTTTTAGTGTGGTACGAAGTTTTAAAAACCCATAAAGGAAAAAAAAAATTTTACAATGTTCTCTGAAGTTTTAGTCCACTCAGAAGAGAGAAGACAACTAGTAGTGACGCCAAAAGTTTTTACGTGGAAAACCCATAAAGGAAAAAAAAAAAAACTATGAGGTCTTTTCTAGTTATAAAAATTTACTATAAGTTGCTGGTTATAGAGACCCTTTGTCCC